GTGATTTTTTTGTCTTTCACAGAATATGGATCCGACTCAGCAAGCTGCCAGTCAGATTATCAAGGGAGGAACTGTTACCGCTCTTACTGTGAGTACGAAGCTACACCCACGCTATGTTGCGTGACTTATTCTTGTCACGCTTGTTTTCAATCAGAGTGGTTAATTTTTCTAATACCAAAAACAGTAAAGGGTTACATAAATAAAGATTGAGTAAAAATAATTGCCACGTGGGTGGAGCAAAGGAAAATCTGATTTTTCCGTGTGGGTACCAACCCCAGAACTTCCAATGATGCGTTGAATATTTTACCAAGGATATTCTTCTTGTAGAGAGAGGGAATGTAGGAAAGCTGGTAAATCTGAGACTCGGAAAAAGATGGTAATAGCATTTCTAACGAGAGTAGAAAAAACAGAACACCTGACTGAAAAATAAAGGGTTATCTTCAACTTTTAAGGTATGATGTAATCCGCGATTTCTTGTTAGGGCCTGGGTCTAGCTAAGCAACTTGCCGAAAAGATTCATGGAAAGATCGGCTACGAAGCTCCAGTGGAGGAGGTGAAACAAGACGAGAAAAAAACAGAGGAAGAACAGCGGTACGAGGATGAGGTGGAGATCAACGACTTTCCTCAAACAGCTCGGTGGAAAGTCACTTCTAAGGTGAAAAGTCTAACAGGGAACCAAAACCACTTTCGAGAAATTGTTCCAGGATTGCTTTGGTTTCGCTCGTTGTCCGTAGTTTAGTCAACTTATTCATTTGTCTTTTGTTTTCCCTTAGGAAACTATTATGAACATCACGGAGGTTTCTGAGGCAGCCATTACTGTGCGTGGAACCTTCTTCCCTCCAGGTCTTGTACTGGCTTTCTTTAACTCTTTACATCCTAACATCAGTATATATTTTCTCCGTACTGTTCTCTATACATTTCCTATGGCACTGACAAAGAGAATTTGTTTAACAATCAAGAACTTCTTTAGTTAGTGATCATTTCTTTAATTCTCCTGACCTCAATGTTTGTTTTTGGGGTGATATTGATGGGAGAAAATGGTTACTAATCACTCTTAGGGGTTAAAGGGTTAATACACTTCTTTCAGGTCATGTGATAATACTCTAGAGAACTGTTTCTTTTCAAATTTCCTCTTATTTACATGCATGTTTATTCATAATTTTTCAAAAGGCAAAGCTGGGAATTTTCTTAAGACCTTAAATGATAAAAAAAAAAAATTATTCAAGTAAAAGAGGTCTCTTAAAACCGTACTTGTATGAGTTGACACTTTTAGAGAGAAACCATAAAATGTGCTCTTAGTTACATCAGAAGCGTATGACGTAGGATGAATGCCTCTGGTTGCATTAAATTAAACTCAGCAAAGAAACCCTGTTCCACAGAAAATTCTAATAAATTTTTTTACGTTAATATTTAGGGAAAGAACCGAAGGCAGAAGGCGAAAGAAAAATATATCTATACATTGAGGGTGAGTAGACTAATGCGATGAAAACTTATTGAAATTCAGAAAGGTAAAGAAAATACATTAAAATTAACAGTTTGTAAAGAACTTCCAGTACCTGATCAGAAAGATTCGTTGTGTAAGTAAAGGTCATGCGCAAATTGTCAACTTTGTGTACTCATTTTACCAAAGTATGATGCGTAGAATGTTATCGCCCTTCCTAACTATGGAGAAGGAGTCATTCAGCAATGGAGAGAGGCCTGGTGTCGACTGGTGCCCCGGTTCTTTTTTAAATCTCATTTATGCCCTTTTGCTCGTTTCCAGGTCCTTCTGAACGTTCAATCCATCTGGCAAAACTAGAAATAAAACGAGTCGTTAAAGAAGAAATGATTAGATTGGTAAGTAAAACGAATTACGCTCGTAGATTCTTGGAGTCTCTAATTACGCTTTTCTGCTTAACATTTTTTTGAGGAAAAAAAATTAGGTCAGAGAGCACTCACTCCTTGGAACAACCTCCTTGTCGTCTGCTTAATCATATCTGTAATGCTTGAAAAACATTTTTAGTTCTGATTTGAATCTTAACTAGAAGCAAGGCTTTAGCGATATTTTATCCTTAAATAGAGCAACGGACGTTCACCAAATTTGTGCCACAATTCAACTTCTTTGCTATTTTATTATAAAAGGTGCAACTTGAAACCCACTATGACTTCATTTTTTCTTCTATGTCCGCAGAAGTTACTAAAACTATTTTTTCCTTTTCCCTCAGGGTTCCTTCCGTGGTCCTCAGTCTACTGGCAGATACAAAGTTCTCTGAGAGGAATGTTGAACGCACGATCGTTCTCATTTTTCATTCACCGACACTTCCTGTTAATCCTCTGGGCGTGCCTCGCTTTCTTATTCTAGCCGGCTGTCTTCCCAATGTGAAGAAAGTTTTTTAGTCCCACATTGCCACTAGCGCTTCTTTAACAGGCAACTTGACAGCTTGTGAACAACTTTTTTAAAGTTCGTTGTTTCCGATCTTTAAGAACCCTCTCCATCTTCGGCCATCCATGTTCCTTCTTGGTTTAATATCATGTCTTGTGTTTTCACTTTTTAGCAACCATTTTTATATACTGTAGCCTCCTTCAAGTCGAATGCCGTTTTTCACGTCGCAAAAATAGCTCAAATTTCATAAAAAGCTCCTCTAAATAGGATAAACCGTTTGGAGGAAATGAAAGTTTGTTTTTTTTTTTTAGAATCAAAGGTATATTCACATACGCTGGGTCAGAAAACCAACCCTTTTTTTAGGTAGATGAGTTTTTGTGTTTGTGTGCTCTACGTAAATGTTTTTGCATTGTGGCATTTTGTAAGTTAGCTAAAGATCTGCCAATAAACTGTAAGGGAGTCTTTTTTTTCTGTTAGAGAGAAGCTTTTCAATGATTATCAAACTGTCCGTTATAGATCGCTTTCAAATTGAGAATCGTGCAATCAAAACCAAAGTTTTCACAACAGACAGTCAAAGCAAAGGCTAACACACAAAAAACCACTAAGAACTCCTCTAAGTGTAAACAAGCTAACTGCTTTTGGCGCGGGAAAACGTTTATACCTCGCTGCCGTCTGCATTCTTGTAAGTTTTGCATCTGATTGGCTAAGAGTGTCGAAAGTTTTCTGGACCAATCACAGAGCGAAGTAAAGCAAAACCAATGGAATCCCGAATTGCTTTCCACACTCAGTTAAAAATGTCTGTAAAACCTCACTTTCTCGGCAAGACACCAACAAGCTGTTGTTGCAGTGTGTGGTTGTAAACAATAAAAGTAAATTATTGCAGCTAGGATCTCTATGTATATGTATTTTTTCTTTACTCGTTCCTCCCTTGTCTCATTCAGTGCGCGAGTAAATTCCAATTCTCGCGAATTGAGTGGTGAACGCAACAGTAGTCTCTTTGATAAGAGCGGAAATTCAAACCAAGCTGGCCCAGGCGGGGATCTGACCTGAAATTTAATTATTTTTTGTTCAAATTTTTCTCACTGATTTTACAGTAGTTTTCTGATTTTGTAATGAGGAAGGACATGTTATGTTTCCTTGGGATTATGACAGCTTAGAAAAACACAACCAAACAACAACAAAAACAAATAGAATAACGTGCGTTTGAGTTCGATATTGTCGATCGAGGTCGCCCTAGTTAGATAATTAGGAGGGTACTTTAAGTATACCAATTATTTAATTATTCATAGTGGGAGCCACAATATGCCCGACCTCTCAGCGACTCAAGAGCGTAACAGGGTTTAAAGCAATGATATTTTTATCCGATTATCGATTCATAATTTAAGCTGTGATTTATCTATCTTCGTTTAATGCGTGAAGAAACCGCGCATGGCAATATTCGAAGGAATAACACGAATACATCTACAACACGATACGCCCTCTCCCACCCCACCCCTACAAAAAAAAAGACTAATGCATCGATCTTCTGAGTATATCCTCGAGAAAGAGATATTTCTGATGAAGATTTCCAAGAAACTCCTACGAAGAATATAAAGGCTTTCTCTTCCTATAAATCTTTTCTATTAGTCTACTCTCCAGTAGCAGTTGCAAGATCGAGTTGTTGAAGTTTTTGCTTCCTGTAATTCACATCAAAAGTCCATTCACCTTGGATCTTTGAACAGTCCTGTTGTCTAAATATATGTCTAGTTCCACCTCGACAAGAAACAAAACGACAATTTTAGGCCGCAAAAACCGACAGTGAAGTGAAAGCTTGTTTGTCACGCGACACTTTCCGATGGAAGTATCTTCTTTGAGTCTTTTGACAATTGATAGAATCAATCGTTTATGTATTTTTCAATAAGAAATATAAAAAAAACCGAATTTTTAGACGATGATTGTGAAAGATTTCGAAAGTGAAGGGTTAGAAATTCCCTTTCTTCATCTGCCAGTTGTCACGCGGGTTACCTTAAAGCTATTGCGTGACAAAGTCACGTACACTTAAGAGGAGAAACTCGATGCCAAAATGTGTGAAATCGAATGGTCCATGTGCTTTCTTCAAAATCAATGGTTATCTTTAGTTCGTTTTCTTGCTTCGTTATCATTTCCTGTCTTTATATCGTATATCTATAAAAAAAAAAACTAGCATCTGAGTCTTCGAAATATTGAAATACGAAATGTAAGAATGCTGCAACCATTAACCAGATCATTGGTTTTTTATTTACCTGTCCAGTTTAACTGGACACCTGAAACGTGTTTTAATAATTACCTTTCCTTGGTTTAAAAATTTATTGCCTTATTTTTACGTTTCTCAAGTTTCGAGCTTCGTTTAAAGGAATATTACTTTGGATCGAGCAGCTGAGCAAAATTAATTTTCATGATATGCAAGAACAGAAGAAAGTTGATACTGTGTAAATTTGAATTTTAAGCGTAAGGTGTCCATCACTACCATGAGAGGAATTTGAAATGAAATAAATAACAAAAGATCTGGCGGGAAATCTATGAAAGCCATTTGTTCTTTGTAAGCCAATCGAGAGCAAAAGCTATTGTAGTGTCGACGTGATTGACAGATCGCAATTTGTATCTATGAAGTACTCGAACAGTAAGTTCACTCTTGGCTTGCATTTCTACATGCTCTGGAAAGACTTGTGGTAGTCTCTGACTGCGATTAATACGCTTCAGACTGAGCTCAAGAAACGCTCGTAGAAGTAAAATCTCGCCGGAATCTTATCGTTCTTCGCTACGGCTACCCAAGAGTCGCAGAAATGGGGGTCGGAACGCGTTCATCGGCAAAGAAGAGCAGAGGTAACTCAGCATGTTACAGAACGCGTGCTTCGAACGCGAGATGTTTATGCATTCCTTTACAAGCTTGATAGTAATTTGTTAATGTTTTCGTGTTTTTATTTTAGAGGAGAAAGAGTTGGAGGCGAAAATGGTGGATAAAATTGATGCAGAAACGCAAACAGATCCTGAGATAACTGGTGTAGACGCGGACGATTTCGAGGAAGACGATGGCGAAGGTGAAGAATCCGGCTCGGAGAGCAGCGAAAATGAGGACGATGAAATGGAGGCAGACGAAGACGGCCAATTCAAAAGTGTCGACCGGGGAACGTCCTCGAAACCAGTGCGCCGCAAAATAATCGAGCTGAAGTATTATTTTGGGGAAGATTTGCCTGACGCCGAGCTAACGAAACGTGAGTTTGGTATTGATAATTTTAGACCAAGCACATGGTCGACTCGCATAAATTAGCAACAAGATTCTCGAGGTTTATTCCAAACTATTCTCATATTTCCTCATTATAGCCACTTTAGAGGAAAGAATTTGATCACCGTGACCCATGTGATCATTGCATATGGAAAATACGAGTATTTTGAGGGCAAATTACCTCAATTATTGTGCGAGTCTGTGATCTGGGAATTCAAGCTCATTTGAATGCGTGTTCATAATAATTGCATACAGTTTAGACAGGGCAGGACTAAATCTTCACCACTAATCTTTCATGATTTACAAAGTGAAACATTTCTTCCGTAGCCTAAGGTGTTAGTACAAACTCTTAGTGTAGCACCGTCGTGATTATTTTAAAAATACATCTCAAACTGGAACATTTTCAAAAGCCCGTACTGTGCTCTCGTTCCGTTTTGAGTATTTACATATTTTATGCATGTATTGGTTTACACTTACAGCCAAGCGAATGAAACCAGCGGGTTGGAAAGGAAACCGAAGGAACAATCACTCGTTATTGTCTGATAAATCGGCCTTTTTTCCATTTATAAACGGTGCGCCAGCGCTTCAAAACATTTTCGTGGGTACATTTTCAAATTTGTAACATATTCGCCATGAATCGCGTGATATTTCAGAAAACCATTGAAGTGTACAGTGGGGTGACGCTCAAATGTTTTCCTTTCCTGTGATGAATATGTGACCATGTTAATCGATGCATTTGGATTTTTACAGATATAGGACTGAGTTTAAGCTCTATTGCAACCGATGCGCAGTTCTTCGGCGCAAATTCGTGCATTTGTGATCGAATCCTAGAGGAGATTTCGCCAATTCAAACTTACATGCGCATTAGTGAGGAGCACACACCTGAGGAAGTTTCGGTGTAAAAAATGATGAAAAAAAGAAAACACGTGGCAATTCAGGGACGGAAACCTCTTCTTTCTATTGTTCATGAAGGCCCTAAATTCTCAGTACTGTTGACTGGGTTGGTAATAAATATAATAAAAAGAGCCACTACTTTTTTGCAAAATTTAAGAGACTCTTTGTCTGAAAAAACCAAAGTTGATACCAAAGGCTGGTGTTATGAGCAGATCAAGACTGGAAAGCCACTTGAATTCAGTAAAAATCTGGCCAGCCAACATACCACCACCTTTAGTTGAAACCTCAAACAAAAAATCTGATTTTCGACTAGCCACTGTGATGGATTTATACTTCCCTAAATTTAAGTACAGGCTGGTTGTTATTTTCAATAAGTTAACCCCCCAAAAACTTGACAAGAGACCTCTCCACAGACATATTTTGAAATTTTTCTTTTGTTTTAATCTTAGTACATGTATAGGTTATAAAATGATTTTGAGTACAATTTGGTATTGATAAGGACTAGGAAATTTTTAAAAGACAACAAAACAGCACAAGCCTGGTGAGTGTAATTTGCAGTCTTACAGGTGCTTGTAAGAGATTTCATGTTATTACTTGTTAGTGATGTACATGAAAAAACGGCACAAGTCAAGTTAGACAAAATTTTGAAAGGGTGTGTGCGCTATTTGAAATTGACATTCGTGTCACAACTTTACACTTGTATAATATGAGAATGCACTCCTTTTCAGCCAATCAGAAGCATGTAATTTTTTGTGTACATTATTAAGGTAGTAATTTTGAACTCCACTAAACAACAAATCTCAGTTAGGTATGTGAAATTAATCCATGCAAGTTGCCTGTGTACTCCATAATAATTTAAGATGTTACCGGTACTGAAGCTGAATGGAGGAGCCCGTTTTAAAAAAAATTATCTATTAGCTGTACCAATCAAAAGGTTATTATCATTTCCATTAATTTCTTAGTTGCTGAAGCTGAGGTCATAGTTCCCCCTGGACTTGAAGTAAAAGAATCTAATATTCCTAAAGCTGGCAGGGGAGTGTTTGCAAAGTGTGTGATCCCCAAACATGACTTTTTTGGACCATTTGTTGGTAAAAAGGTGACTGCTGAGGAGGCCAAAAACTACAAAGACTCCCCCTATGTCTGGGAGGTAAGATTGTTCAGTGTCAAATGTTACTTCTTGATGATCAACTTTTGCTTAAGGCAAAGCAAATGTTTTTAATTGAATGATCCTGAGACAAAGTCTAAGGATCCATTCAACAATTTTTGCAGCAGAGCTGGAGAAGAACGATTAAGGACAATAACTAATTTATTCTCATAACTAATTTACAGGGAAATGTGTAGCTGCTAGTGGGGAGAATTTACAATCAGGTCTTGTGAGTTCAAGAGTTAAGGGTAAAAGGGGGAACTAATTAATTTGGTGTAAGGCAAAAAGCTCAAAATAACATCTGATGGACTATTAGATTCTCTATACAAATTGTCCTATATTTCCATGTAAAACACAGGGAGTTGTTGGTGATTCATCACAAGTCTTATTCTCATTCCAGACTTCTTAAATTTTGGGATGTTTTTGTTTTTCAGGTGAGAGATGACTATGGAAAGTTGATGCACTTGGTTGATGGAAGAGATGCATTTCAGTCCAACTGGCTGCGCTATGTCAACTGTGCCAGGATTATAACAGAACAAAACATCCGTGCTGTTCAATATGATGGAAATATTTATTATATGGCTACTAGGCAGATTGAAATTGGAGATGAGTTGCTGACATTTTATGGTGAAAAGTTTGCTAAGATTCTTGGTATAAAACCTCCAAAGAAAGGAGCATCTAAAACTAAAGGTAACATTCTGAGTAGTTTTCTCTTTCATTTTCCCTTTCAGTTTCTTTTCCTATTTCCCTTTCACTGTTCAGATGTTGCTCTTCTTTCCCATTTACAGGAAAGTTTTGGAGTTCAGTAACTCATAGCCAGTTTAATCTTATTGGGAATTGAGTGAGCAACGATTTTAAAAAATTTAAGTTGACAAATGATCTATACTACAAACTGAAATCTAGTTGTGAAACCTTTTTACTATGGCAATGATAGGTAGACAGTTCTTGATGGATCACAAAAGCCAACCTCCTTTATATTCTTTCAATACCTCTGTCAGTGACCATGTAAGGCTGGTTTCCACTTGCAAAAAAGTCAGTGGTTATCAGAAGCATAGTGAGATATTATGTAGTGAAAATCAAACCAAGACAATTGGAAGCAGGATACAGCTGGCATCTATGAGTCTGTTGCTTATAATCCTTGCAACAAAATTTGGGGTCTTAGACATCATAATGTATGTGAAAGGTCTAATTGGTTGGTTCTTCCACTTCTGCTTGTGGTTCTGACCATTCTGCTTCCTCCTGATTAGGATTAAGCTTCTGTGGGGAGGGAAAATCTGACTTAACTACAGGCAGTGACAGTTACAAGTAATTTTACAAAATGCATTTTATTATCCTCACTCTCCTCTTTCAGATCCAGAACCTACTGATGAGAGCTTTGCTTGCAAGAATTGTGGGAAAATGTACAGCAACCCTGCATCCCTGATTGGTCATTTGAAGTACAAGTGCAACACAGGTGTGATCATTACATCATGGTTATTACGTATTCAATATGTATTTAACTACTTCTTATAAAAAAGTTCAATTCAATGAAAGATGGGCAATTCACTCTTTAATCCCTAAGAGTGACAAGCATCTTATTCTCTTCATATTGTTACTCCTGAATCACCCATTAAGGTCACAAGTATAGAGCAAATAATCACCTTATAAAGAAACAGTTTGCTATCTCAAAATCAACAGTTTCAGTCAGAAACCTTGAGTATGCGAGAAATAACAGTTTTAGTTGTGCAGGCCTTGAAACAACGGTCTGCTAATGTTGGTTGAAAGGAGGCCAAAAGAAGGAGGACAGACAAGGAACAGAATTTCAATAATCAAACACAACTATATTTCAAGATGGCATTTCGAATACAGTGTCTGCCCTGTGACTTGTGCGTGCATTTGATTACAACATGACTGCATGGCAAACTTTCGAAATAACAATAACAATCTTCAAAGTTCAATTCAGTTTACAGGATACATGCTCAATGTGCAAGACTTCAGAGGTCTGCATTATCCATCTAATACATGATAAGAAAAGAAAAATCCTTCAGTTAGGGAATGTTAGCTTGATATGACATCAGCTTCTCTTAATTAATTTACAAGAAAATATAGTAAGAGGGGAGGTTTACTAACCAGAAGTTAGGGGATGTAAAAGAGTTGAATGGGTGTTTTGCATCATTTTACTTATGCCTGAAGACTGTAGCACATAGACCATAGTAAGTGAGTTACTAACCTGATTTTTCCTTTTAAAAATCAGGACAACAGAGGAGCATTTTTGTCCCTCAGCCTGTTGGTCCACGAGCTTCAATTCCCAAGATCAAAGTTACAGAAGAATATGCTCGTCAACAAAATGAGAAGTTGAAGAAGTTCAAATGTGATGAATGTGGGAAGGCATTCATTCGCAACTACACACTGCAGTGCCATAAGCTCATTCACACTGGAGTGAAAGAGCATAAATGCACAGAGTGCGGCAAGGAGTTCACTCTGCTTAAACACCTGCAGCGTCATCAGCTGGTTCACACTGGAGAGAAACCATACAAATGTCACCTCTGTGGTCGCGCCTTCTCACAGCAGGGAAGTCTTCAAGCCCATAGCCGTACACACACAGGTGTGAAGCCATATTCTTGCAAGATCTGTGGGCGCGCATTTGCCTTGCAGTCACCTCTGCTGTCCCACATGAGGACACACAGCCAGGAGAAGGCCTTCAAGTGCACTACTTGCGGAAAAGCCTTCACACACAGGAATACACTCTCCCGGCATGAGTTGATCCACACTGGTATACGCCCTTTCAAGTGTGACAAGTGTGGTAAGACCTTCACTCAGACCAATGATCTCAAGCGCCATAGCCGCATCCACACAGGATTACGACCTTACAAGTGTCACATCTGTGGCAAGGACTTCACAGTGGAGTTCACCTTAGTGTGTCATGTGCGCACTCACACTGGGAGTCGACCATACAAGTGTGACTATTGCGAGAAGACATTTACCCAGCCTGGTGCCCGTCTGAAGCATGTACGAAAGAATCATCCTGATAAGTCACCTGTTAAGGTGAGAGTTGCAACAATCATTTAGTCGATGGATAGTGTCTGGATGGCCAAACATTTTGTCTTGTTGTTTATGAATGTAAAGAAGAATTTGACGCTAAGCTCAGGTTTTATATACACCTTTATTGAGTTGAAAGCTGCATTACAATAAAAGCACAGTAGATAGACTTGTTTTCTACTGGGGGGTGG